CACACGTGACGTCCTGCGCAGCCCGGCAGCTCCTTCTGCTTAGACTTCTGCTTTGGGGTACGGCGAATCCCCGGCACTGCGGTACCCATGTACTCGCTGCAGAAGGTTGTGCCATTAGCAAAACACGATCAAAAGGAATCGCGCTGATGGTTTCAAATCACCACTTCACGCATTTCTGCAACTTGGAGCTTTCCACACAACGGGACCTCCGGTCTCTGGCAGCGCCCGCACACGTTCTCGCGTGGATCCTCCTGCTTTGGCATTTCGATGGCGGTCCTGCTTAGCTGCCCTGCACCGCGCAAACCTGAGCATGGGTCTGGGCCCTGCTTGAGGGAGTCTGTGCCCAAAGAAGGCCAGGGACAGTGGGGGAGTGGGGCAGGGGTGTGACACCGCACAGAGTCCTGCACCTCGGCCGTATGCAAGGCAGCTCCAGCTGACCCCACGGCTCCCTCAAGGCCTTGGAAGGGTTTACCATACAGGCATAGACAACGAGGGTGGAAGGGTCCTGAGGAGGTCACATCCAGTCCAACCCCTGCTCCAAGCAGGACCAGCCCCAACTACATCATCCCAGACAAGGCTTTGTCTAGCCGGGTCTTAAACACCTCCAAGCATGAAGACTTCTCCACCTCTCTGGGTCACTTGTTTTGGTGTTTCACCACCCTCCTCATGAGAATTTTTTTCCTAATATGCAACCTCATCTTCCCTTGCTGCAGCTTGAGCCCATTGCTCCTTGTCCTGTCATCTGCCCCCACTGAGACCAGTCCAGCTCCATCCTCTTTGCAGCCCCCCTGCAGGGAGGTGAAGGCTGCCATTCAATCCCCCTCGGTCTTCTCTTCTGCAGACTCAATCAGCCCATTTCCCTCCTCCTCTCCTCACCAGTCCTGTCCCCCAGCCCACAACCATTTTCATTGCCCTCCTCTGGACTCTCTCCAGTGTGTCTACATCCTTTCTGTAGTGGGGGCCCACAGCTGGACACCGGACTCCAGATGTGGCCTCCCCAGTGCTGAACAGAGGGGAAGAATCGCTGCCCTCCATCTTTTTGCACAGCTTCAGTGCCAAGGCAGGGCTGAGAACTCGGGCACACCTGGGTCTTTGGGCAGATCGGAGAAGGGGCAACACAGAACCTGACAAAGATCAGCCAGGCTAGATACGGTGGTAGCTGGCGGAGGGGAGATGCAAGGCCTGACCCGACAGAGCAAGCTGCAAGGGCAGAGCTAGGGGGGCCGGGAAAGGGCACAAAAGAGCTTGACCTTGCAGGGACGCAGGGAGCGCAGTGCAGGGCTGGGGCTGGGGCCCGAGGTGGCCAGCGCACGGGGCAGGGAACATGATCCCAGCAGCTGCGCTCAGCAGGGCTGCGCCGGGGGGCTCGCACGCAGCTGGCCCGGGCTGCCCTGCCAAAGGCCGCTCCCACCCAAGCAGCCGGCCTCGCTGAGAAGCAGCACGTCTCAGGAGACTCTTGTCAGGACACACATGGCCAACAGGGGATTTTCGATGGAAACCCCCATTCTATTTAATGTCATCTTCACTGAAACACAGGATTGTTTTGCTGCTTTTTAAACACAAAAAAGACTAGTTTTTTGCATTCCAGAATTTGGTTTTTCCCCTTTTCTCCCTGGTTTTCAGTCTCCTGCTGCAGGACGCGATGGAGCGAGTAGCTGCTTCTTTTTCCTACCCCCACTTCCCAAGACACCAGCAAAACCAGTGCACGAAGCAGAAGCCTCCCAGGCACCACCTGTGTTGCTGCACCTTGCAACAACAGCCATGGGCCGGCGGGGAAGGAAGGAAGAGAAATGTCCTGACACGTGAAATGACAAGATTTTGCAAATTTTCCCGATTTTGCCCAGCTCTGGCCATCACGCTGAGCACACGGGCCAACTCCTTGCCCCCCTCCACCAGGTACGCCACCAGGCTAGAGTCGCTGAAGGGCAAGGGGCATCAAAGGTGGGTGAATGCCCTGCTTCCCTGCAGCAGCTTGGGCTGAAGGCTCAGATGAGCACACATCATAGAGACTGAGGGGGATTGAATAGGAGCCTTCAGCTCCCTGCTGGGGGGCTGCAAAGAGGATGGAGCTGGGCTGATCTCAGTGGGGGCAGATGACAGGACAAGGAGCAATGGGCTCCAGCTGCAGCAAGGGAAGTGGATGCATGTCCTTGCAGCTGGTCCCTGCTCCGGGCCTGTGGGGAGGAGACAGGACCAGTTGCTTGGCCATTTTGGTGCAGGAAATGGCTGCTGACACAGCTGCACCCGTCACCGGTGCCACCGCCATGCGCCAATCCCCTGATTGCGTCCCTGTTGTCATGCCACTCAGCGCGGAGCGCTGCTAAATTAGAGCCACTAATTGCACCTCTCTTTGAAACAATCAGAATGACAAATCAGCACTAATCTCCTTGGTTCGAGATGATAGCTACCGCAGGCTGCCCTTGCGAGGATTAATCATCCTCTCATCAGTGTTATTATACCCGTGCTGTCTGGGAGGGACCTTCCGGCTGTGTCGTGTGGCTCAGCACCACCAAGGCGCGCCCAGCGCCTGCCCCAGCCTCTCGCCACCTCCGCTCCAGGGCAGTGCCACAGCAAGTGCCGCCTGCTCTTGTCTCTACCAGCACGTGTGGATCCTGCCCGGATTAGCTCAGCCACGCTCAGGCATTGCAGCACATGTCAGGGGCCACGTGGAGCCCGACAGCGAGTCAGTGATGCCATGTGTGCCATGGGGTCAGGTGCTCCTGGTCCATGATAGCCGTGAGGCCACTCAAACCCAGGAAGAGCATGCCCAACCTCTGCCCTACCTCACGGCCGCCACGCCGGGAGTCCACGGGATGCCCAGCCACGAGGCTGGGCTGGTGCTGAATGGCGGGGACCCCTGGGAGCACGGCCGCTGGGCCCCGAGGGGGAATGCCAGCCTGGAAAGGACAGAATATTTGCTGGATTAACAGAGACAGCCCAGGGCTGGCTTGGAGGTAGAGCGGCACGTGGCCAGGCCGTCTGACATCGTGGGGCGCTGCATCCAGCCGCACGTCTGCAGTGCAGCTGCTGGTCCTGCACTGTTTCGGCTGGAAGGGCCAGCGTGTCCATGCCAAGGTGTGTGCACCCGGAGCCAGCCCACCCGACCTCCCCCAGCACCGCCGGCTCTGCCCGTGCACAATAGCTCCGTCTCAGCTCCGCTAAGTGTTAGCGTTTAGATGCTGCCGTAAAAAGGCAACGATGCACTTGAGTTGCACAAAGACCCAAGTCTTGGAAGAGAAAAGGCACTTGACATTTCCCCCAGGCAGGCTCGTCAGGTCCCCATTGAAAGTAGTAACAGAAACCTCACAGCTCCTCCAAGCTCTGAAGAAAGGGGAAACAGAGGCAGCCCGAGAGCTCGTATGTGTGGGGGGATGTGCATGCACCATGCCCATGCAATGCAGCATCTCTAGGTGCGTATTCTACATGCACACGCATGAACGCATGAACTCTTCCACCAAGGTCCGTCTAAGGCACCTTCACGCGCACATGCACGCACAGAGGTACACCAGCCTCTTCCCTAGCGACCCGGGAACACGATGCATGGAGCGGCCTCCCAAAACCATCAGCCGCTCACTGCCTCTGCGTGCTCACCCCGGCCAGCCCCGGGCCGGGACTGCTTTCTCCTGCCCATCCCAAACCTGCTGCTGTGGGTGCACGTGTCGCTCGTGGTCACACGTGAAAATGAACTGCAGCACGGTCAAGCAGTAA